ATAGCTTCAATATTCAATATTTTGTGACTTTCCTTTAATTATGCATATCAAATTTCAAGTTGTGGAAATTGAGAGAATTAAAGAGAATAAAAAATAGTAAAGAAAATATGCTATAACAGTGTTACTAAAATATTCACTCATACTACTACTATTTCAGAATTTGGGATTATTTAAAATTAAAACTCAATCTGAGCAGTCCTGTGCAACTACCATTTTACTTTCTTTTTATTTTTTCCTCTTTTTACTTGAGCTTTCACMACTATCATTTCTATGGTTTGGATAGTGGTCCTTGTTAGACCACAGGACTTCCCTAACTTAAAAGATCCTCTAATACATAAAGAACTTTTCTTCGCCACATTCTCCTTGCCAACTGCTTGACCTTTCAATCGAACCGATTTTGTTTACTCATAGAAGGTTTGGAGAAGTCCAAAAGTTCTGTCATTGACTCATTTCCTGCACTAATTCAYGATCTGGATGTTGATATCAACCTTGCCTCTTTCCTCCAAACTCCTGTCTGTTATCAGTATCACATGACATTAAGAATCAACCTCCACATTCCCCAGAGAGCTTGCAAAATAAACACAGCTCACTAACGAACCTCTGTAGCTGATGATTTTTTTAGTGGTTTTGTACACATTGTTCAAAGTCAAATTTACAGATTAATTAGGGAAGCATCAACTTTCTTTACTGATGGCTGAAAGAAGTTGCTTCATTTTCTCTTTCATCATGGACAGATCCAAAAAGATAGCAGGCTAAAAAACTTCAGCCACCTTAATCTCAAAATTCAGCCACAGTACGTTAGAATGAAATTCTCCAGTAGTAATTTAAGACCAGATGAATTTCACTTGGTCTTTTGGATTTTTAAGTGGTTCACTGGCTGGATGTACTTGTCATAGTGCCTCATAAATAGCTCCCGGTAAATAACAGATTCAGAAAATTCATTTGACGAGAAGTCATTTGGCTGTCTTTCAGTTTTATCTAGCTTGGTTGGGATTCTAGGAGACATTACTGAACAAATATTTTCTTAAAAAAMCAGCACAATTGGTTATATGGAAAAATCAGTTCTTTCCACTCCAAAGCTGTATTTCCTATCTAATGCTCAACACGATACAGGAATTCTATAAGGACAAGGACAAAGCAATATAGACTTGCCCACTTATATATAATTAAAGGATTGGGAAGTAAACATTAGATTATCCAACTTTAAGTGTATAAGAAGTGAACTTTTTTTTTTGGTGTTGCAGCTATTCATTAAAGAATTTAAATGTATTTTCTACAAATGCTGGAAATATAGTAATCAGAGATTTCTGGGCACCTGCTGCAGTATGGATACAGCGGTAGACAACTCCATGTCACAMAATATTCTGAAAATTTCTTCTAAAAGCTCTAGAAAATGTTGGAGTGTTAGGTAAAAAWATATGCATGTTACCTTTCATATGTATGTTCTAAGTACTCACTCAAATTTCTTGAAATTTCAGTAAATGTTACTTTTCTAGGATAAGATAGAGTATCATTTCATTTTCACAATAGCCAAGCTTCAGTTACTTCAAGCGAAAATTTTCTATTCCAGTCCAACTGCTTGTTTTTTTTTCTCCTGTTTATAGACCAGACACTCGTTAACCTCTCAAATCTCTGGAGAATTGTGGTTTTAAGGGAACCCAGGAGGAAAAGACAAATTTGGAAACCCATTTATCCAGCTCACTAGAATTGAGACATTATGGTTTTCTTTCTTCCCCCCACTCCCCAAAATACCAAATTTCTATCATCAGAGCTCTCTGAATAAACGAACATTTTGTTACTGGACTCAGGAAGAAAGAAACCACATGCCTGTTAGGGACACAGAGAGGAGGAGTGGAATATGTGCTTGGGAGCGTGTTTATTTGACTGGATTGCAGACGGTCAACCGAGGAACATGCAGATCATATATTTTTGAGCATTTCATAATGTCTTCTTATTAATTCCAGCCAAAACCACCAAGACCAAAATTATCTGAAATTGGTGCTTGTGTGTCCTGACCCCAAACCCAACAATGGTTGCATAAAAAAAAAMCTGTTTTCCTCTCAGGTTTATTTATTTTTTTTAATCAATTAGAAGGCAGTGCTCTTTGGAGTCTCTGAAGAAGACAGGTCACCATAGCTAACAAATTGAAATGTGGTACTGGGTAAATTTTACTTCCAGGAAACCAAAATGTTGAAGTCCTTGAAAGAGGGAGGCTATAAGCAGAGAGCTCTTCTAAAGGAAGGAGCTTTTATTGAACCTGTCACTTGTCATTAAACACTCCATATTTTACCTTACCCTGATATTTTCATTAGAGCCTAAAGACCTTTTTCATCTGTGAATGAAAGCATTCCCTTCAGCCTTGTGCTGTATATGAGGAAAGACTCTCAGAAAATGAGCCCACCCAAACGGGACAATTATGTTCACAAAAGCAGGAAAGGCACTAGGGAAAACCAAGAAATATTAATATTGTGATAACTTCTATATTTCAATGCTGAGTATTACATGCCACTGATATTCAATTCTTCAATTCTAAGACATTTGTTAATTTTTTTTATCTCATAAATACTTGTGTAAAATTATATTGAAAGTAATTCTCCAACTGAAGAAAACAGTGCAAAATATAACCCAACATAAGGAAAATGGAAAAAAAGCATATACTATTGTACAAAAATATACATTTGGCTGTAATAAGGGAAACAAATTACAAAAGGTAATGAGAAAAAATATATTCCTTGTCATCTATGTTCTCAACTTTAGTTTCCACACTTCAGTAAAAAATCCACAGTATTATTAGACAATAAATCCACAATAAATTAACACTGAAGAAAATAGAAAAATTTACCCAATTAAACTRGTTTCTTCAAAAGAGAAAATTGATTACCTTTTCTAGTTTCTACATATGTTGGCTCTTTTTAAGTTGAAATAAGAAATATATATATTTATAGGTAACCTATGGTAAATACACTATTCACAGTTTTATATCTGAGATATCTCAACAGGTCAAATATTTAGTAATAAGGAATTTGATAGYACCTTGCAAAGACTTCATAATTCTTAAACAGCTATAATATAAAGCAGCACTATTCCTTATCCTGAACAACACTTTCTGAACAACAGGTGCTTCACTACTGCCACTACATCTATACAATCACTGAGATATCCCAAAATGATATSCGAATCTTTATAAGAGCAAGCTTTAAACTGAATAATTCTAATAGGACTTAAAGCTATCAGCTACTAGAACATTACTGCCTGTCCATTCTTATGCATAACTGTGCAAATGTATTACCTAATTTACTGTTTCTAAAAAATAAATGAGCAATTTTAATCTGATAATAGCATCTGAGAGACAACAAATTTCAGGCTTATTCCAGTATATTCCATTTGTATAAAAGAAAGGAAAATGGCAAAGTGGAAGAATAATGGCAGGAGAAAAAAATCAAGCAAAGAAAACTGTACCCTTTAAAATCTGTACCCTTTAAAATCTGTAAAAAACCTTTAAAACCTTTAAACAGTACCCTTTAGAACCTGGAAAAAAAATCTTGTGCAATAGTGTAAATTGTATAGTATGTACAAAATTGCATGTCAGATGTCAAGGACTGCTTACCTTTTACAACGTAGAATATATATTTATATAAAAACACATTAGAAATCTAACCAGAGACTACATTATTTTCAGAATTTTTTAAAGACTTCACTTATACAAGGAGTATCGTGTTATCCGAACTTAAGCTGCCACATAACTAGAGCCTTGTGGACTGCTGTAGCACTACAGCCACAAAACTTATGAGCAGATGTAGAATACCCACATCCCAGGCATTTATAAAAATCTGTACTTATGAAAGCATTTTGTGCACTTAGACCTTAACCATTTCAGTGCACTGTGCATACACGGCTGGAACTGAGGGGGAAAACCGCAAAATAGTGCATCTGAGAGCAGTGCACATGGACACACGTTTCTGTGGTTCTTTGGAAAGTTCCTRAAGAGTTGAAACCATCCCACTGGGATCCCACAGAACAGAGCAAAGAAGTATCTATTTAAATTAAGGAGGGGATTTGTCTTTTCTATTGAGCTACTGCGTTTTACCCTATGTCTTTATTGTAGTTGTAATATCAAATGTAACGGGCAACAGGAACTAGGATTTTACCTAGAATAGCAAAAGAAAATACCYGCAGAAAGGCTTGCGCTGTTAAGATTTCCAAAATAACCTTAAAAGAATTCTGTGTTCATCTTCTCTGGCCAAAAAGAAAGTTATTTTTGTAAATTAAAGAAATCCCAGGAAAACATCCATTCTTTTTACTTAGTGTCACCACACCTTTGCTTTACGCCAGTACTGTAGTTTAACATAACTATGACAGCATTTGATAACTTACTGCTTGATAAAGCATTGGAATATCACAAACTGATTTTCATTTGTCTATGCAGATTTGAGGGAATCAGCTAACTGTGTGGGGCAGCAACATAGCATGATTTCAAAAACAAATGAATAGTAAGAATAGCTATAACTCATGAGGCAGTGCATTGCTTCACTCTCAAACAGCGTTGTGTGAACACCAAAAACACACGATCCTCCAGTTACCCCATAATAAATTCAATTTACTATAAGAATACTTACTGACATCAGCTTGGTTATCTTTCATTTACTGAAGAAAAGGTAGCAATAGAAGGTAAAAAAAAGCTGGGAAAATATACAAAGCAGCTACAGAAAAAGACTGTTAGAACAGCAGTGAAGAAAGAAACAACATGCCTACCTCAGTGCCTGTAAGAGAAAATTATCTCAGTGATTCATTTTATTAACTGAGTTGACAGCTAGGTCTTTTTATTATTATTACAAAAATGGAGTAAACTGAAAAAGGAAGCTGAGAGGCTGCTATCCTTGAAGGTTTCATCTTTTAAACAAACAGCAACAAATTCCATATGAAGTAGCTGTGGAACTAAATGAGGAGGCAGAGCAGAGAGGGAGGCAGCCAAGAGTGGCTTTATCCTGCTCTCCTGTTACCTGAAGYTGTTGGGAGCTGTCATTGAGATTATCCTCTCTTCTCCTGGCCTCCTCCAGCATCTGCGCACTCTTCTTTTTCTCCACTTGCTCTTTGTGCTTCAGATTTGCTACTTTCTTATTTTGATCTTTAACTTGCCTGGAAAAGAACAGAACGGTCAGAAGGCAGGGCAGGGGGGACCGTGAAGCAATGCCAGGGYTTGGGATGTGATCACCTTTCCAGCAGCACTCCACAAACCGCCCCAGTGTGAACGTTCTCCTCAACTGTCAATACAACCTAAAGAACACACTGTTCTGCTTATCACTATCAACCTAAACATGGAAACTGCTACAACAAACCCCTTTAAAATGGTTATTGAGTATTTGCCGATAACCAAAGGACACCCCTGCCCTCTTGTGACTAGGCAGTATGCGTCATATAAAAATCTTTGTTCATGCACACATGCATATGTAAAAGAAGTGATACGTCTAATAGCTTATTTTRCTTTGAGTATTACTGTGTGCCTTGCAAGGCACGTAGGAGAGGTAAAAATTAAAAATAATCAAACACGTCTTGAATGCAGAGCACTATCTAAAAGACCTAAGCATGACATTTCCAGAACAAAACATATTTCCTCACAACCTCAAATTCTGCTTATTTACTCAATATTTTGAAGGATTTCCTACTCTTTCTTCCTACAGAAACAAACAAGACAGAACAAGCAAAAAAAAAAAAAACCAAAAAACAAAAACCTCAGAACAAAAAAACCCTCTTTCAGAAAGCGTGCATAATTTCCTTTTCACTTGCATCTATGAATTATTTTTGATGATCCTGGCAACTAGCRTTGCCTGCAGACGAGGGTTTGGCCTTTCTGGGCATTAAGACACATGGAGTATTGAATCTAATTACAGGGCCTTTAATCTCAGCCTCCTGACCACACAGAACTTCAGTCTAAACTTCTAGTCCAATCTAAACAGAACAGGCCAGCCTTGCTTCCTCAGCCCTTTTCTCCATAATTAYATCTGGAGCTTGGAGTTTGGAATAAAAGACAGATTCTTTGGTTGCAAGATTTCCCCCAAACATCATGCAAGTAGTAGAGACAGCTCTTTAATTTACTGTTTAGGAAGCAGAAAGATAAACCAGCTTCCTATCTGGTATGCTATCTACATCGAGATGGAAGAACGCTGCATCTCTTTCACAAACGCTTTTAGATTTGATCACAAACAACTCTGATTGCTTTAATATTTTCTTTGGAGCTCATAACAAAAGTGCGATCAAGAACATATCTCATTATAACATATATGTTTAAATTATGTGGCATATGGCTAGTCAGTGCTTTGGGTTCTTTCAAAAAATGCAAATTTAACACTGAGATCTGTTGTTCACAATTTAAGCCAACTGGAGCTGACAGAATTGCAAAGCTAACAATTTTTCCTCGGTGCTACACAAATGTCTGTTATTGAGAAAAAGTGCTGATGACCTCCAGRGATTCTCTTCTATATTCCTACAAAACAAAAAAACGGAAAGTTCCTTTCCTGATGATGTCAAAAAAAACCCCAAACCCAAAAGTCATGTTTAGCTACCTTCCCCAAGAGTTACAGCTGGTCTAACAACTCAGGATGCTTCTTAGATGTAACTAGCATAATTGTTATGTAGTTCTAATCCAATGCTGCATATTGGGAACGGATGCATTGACTAGACAGAAAGCAGGCTCAATCAGTGATTAAATAATTTATCGGAAATATGTTGGCACTACCTCAGTTTGTAGGGTACACTGTTCTATGTGTAGTGTAAAACAAAAACAAAGTACATCCAAGCCAACGTAGAAAATAAAAATATCCAGAATATTGCTAGAACAAATTTTCAGAACACGATATTTTAGAGATATAACTCCTAAAAAATTAGACAGTCAAGGGTGACTAATCTTTTCAACCTTTATAATCTTTCTCCATTTAGTAGAATGTCATGATATGCAGTGGTAGACCAGAATATACTAGAGAAAATTAAGTAGAATCAAAATGAGACTTCTAATTCAAAAGAAAATTAGATATTAAAGATAACTAGMCACTAAAGATAACTATTAACTTTAATGACTTTAGCTTTTTTTTTTCATGAAAGATAGCTATATTGCTTAAAGAAATCTTTCATCCATTCATCAAATTCCTGAATTTCCAAGGATGAGGAATAGCTGAACACTATGGGGACTATATTCAGATAATCCTAAGAAGCAAGAAATCTTTTTAAAATCACAGGGTTTTAGATTTTTAAATAATTCTAATAAGCGAAGAAGAATCCAAACAATAGAAATCAATGGACCATCAAGTGTTCTTAAAAAAAAAAAAAAGAGGAGATTGATCTAATTCACTTTATTAACTGCAAGCCCTTTGGAAGATTTTTCCTCCCTATTATGATTAATTGTTTTATAATCTCTATACTTATTAAGGTTTTAAAGGAATTAATTTATTCAGTGCTAAGAAGAACATTTTTTTGCATTTTAATACTAATCTCATTATATTTTACTGTAATGCATATCACCATATATAGCTGTTAATTTTTTCCTTATGCGAATTTTCATATTAAAGTGACACAAGCTATTACCCTCCTCTGGCTATCTTTTCTGAGGTAATTTAAATTAAAACGCTCCTGAAAAATAAAAGGTGGTAAGATGTCTACTGAAAATACKCACAATTTCATTTGAATTTTAGAATTATATTTTTAATATGCTTTCCTTTCACATCTGTGTGCCTAAACAACAATATTTTTATAAGAACCCCAGTCGAAGCATACACCTACAATGCATTGCAAAATGCAACTGTCCAACTACCATGAGAACATCACCCTCGAGATAAAATGCATTTATACACACTATGTATAAATACACACTATGTATATTCAGTAGGGAACACATGCACCAGAGAAATATGCACAGACCTTGTGCACTGCAGTAGGAAGAGCTTGTCTGAGTCATCTGACTTTGACACTTGGAAAATATTTCCYGGTTATTATTTAACATACTTCCAGTATGTTCAAAGGAAACATTCAGGGATCATGTCAGCGGCTCCAGCCTTTATTGCCGGAGCGTTACCACCACCCACAGGACGATCTGCAGTCGCTGCAGCTGCTAGTTCCTACGGGCACGTGAACTTTGCTTGTTTTAAAGCATTTGCTCGACAGCCCACTCTGCTCTTCGGCATAAGTYGAACTGCTGCAATACACGTGCAGTTAAAGCAACGTTATTGCAAAAACTGCAAGGAAAATTGCATGCAATGAAATACCTACTACCTTAGCTTCAAATTGCAAAGACAATACCAGATTTTCTAATATATCATCCAATCAGACCTCCAAGCATTTTGTAGTCCTGAGAGACACAGAGAAATGTGTCTATTCACTTGTACGATGAAAAGGAGCAGCCATCTGCAAGAGTGTATCACTGAGAACAGCTTAGGTCAGAGAGCAAAGCACAYTACAACCAGAAAAAAAACCCAAGAAAAATGCAGGAAGGCAGAAATCAATGATCTACCTTACCTSAAGTTTTATTTGTAGTCTCATTCATTAATTATTAGATAGGTGAAAAAAAAAAAAGGGAAGCTCTATTATCTTATTCTTCTAAAAAATCAGCACAATGAGATGCTCAGAATCTGAGCCACATTCTTCCTCATATAAAAAAATGTCAAACCCACTGAACCATTACTGTTTTCTTAACTACCTGCTCGTTTTTCAAGTTCCCAACCTCCAAATATTTCAGCTGGCCATAACCCTTAACTTACGAATTATAAAGATCACAGGCACAGTAACACTGTTGAGATGTTATTTTTTGTAGTGTTGGTACACAAAGGAGAATATTTATATTTTGAAAATCATAACAGAAAGAATCATAGAGGAATTGTTTCCATTAAATGCTACTTAATATTGAAAATATGGAAAACCCCATTTCTGAAAGGCTTTGCTCCAGCTTTTAGCCCAAAACTTCCTTTGCTTTACCTGTGGTTCATCACCCAACCACAGAGAATAACAGCAGCACTTGAATGTCTAATTATTTAACCTCAAGAAAGAAGACAGTGAGGACWGCACGCTAAGTAAGTGGCGTGTTGGCTCTCTTTCCTATGCAGGGCCACATCAAACYACATTAAAGTCCCATCACCACAGCTGGGTGTAGACTGGCAGTCACAGCCAAGTCACCAAAGGCTGCATTGACCAAGTTCTCTGTCTTACATAAAAACTAGGATCAGGGAAACAGCTTATTGCTAAGGATCTATAAGGAATTTAGCATGGCTGATATATTCATTCCTTTCCTGGGAATAGAAGACAAATCTCCAGCAGAATAATCATATCATGAATAAAAACCCAACAGAGAAGAGGCTATGGGATTCTTCTAACCTTCTGTTCACCTATGCATAAAGGAGCGGTCACTCTGGATATGGACTGATTTTTCATTTTATTTCATTTACAAGCAATATGTGTTATTTGGGGTTCTTTTGTTTTGCTGGGCTCTGCCTGGCAATCCCAACATCTTAAGGAGTTTTAGACTATCTTTTAACATTATAATAAGYTTAAACAATGACACATGGTTTAACGTACCAACTAAAAGAAASAAAAATGCCCATTCCGCTTTGTGCCAGCAAGCAGGCAAAAAAGTCCTTGCAGTGAGCTGCTTTGGTTGAGATGGGCAGCTGGCAACCCCAAGCATTCAATTAGCACTTCTCCTTACACGCCTCTCCTCCCACAGCCCATCATCATTTTGCTATCCTGCCTGTCACTGTTCTATGACATTTCTCTGACAAAGTAACATACGTCAATGAAAACATTAACAGATCATGAATGTTTAATTGCTCTGCAGCACAGGAGTCAACAGGAGTCCCGGAGGGGCTCTCAGAGATGAGGATGATGGACTTTGTTTCCTGTAGTCTAAAAAAATTGGACTTTTAAACCAAAGCGTGTTTAGAGTAGCAAGCGAGATAGTAAGGAAGGGACACTAGAAAGACAAGGGGAAACCAGCCTGGCCCAAACTTTAGGAGCAGCAGCCCAAGGGTGTGTGAAYGAGCAGCTGCACCAGTCAAAAACCAGCAGCAGATCTCCACACAAGTCTTTGACTTTCCACAGTGGTCAGAATCAGGCGTGCCATCAATGAACACATTCTGATGCAGTCAGCACATCYCCGT